AATCGTATGTTCCCCATATGGGACATTAGATCAAGGGCAAACACAACAAGGGGATTGGACTAGATACATGATAAAAGCGAGAGCACACAAGGGAGGGGTGAGGAGGTAAGATACTACATTTGTTGCCCTTAATGCAGAGAACTAAAGCAGATACCAAAGCAACTGAGGCCAATAGGAAAAGGGGACCAGGAACTAGAGAAAAGGTTAGATCAAAAAGAATTAACCTAGAAGGTAACACCCACGCACAGGAAATCATGTGAGTCAATGCCCTGTATAGCTATCCTTATCTCAACCAGCAAAACCCCTTTTCCTTCCTATTATTGCTTATATCTCTCTACAGAAAAATTAGAGATAAGGGCAAAATAGTTTCTGCTGGGTATTGAGGGGGGAGCGGAGGGGGTGGGTGGGTGGTAAGGGAGGGGGTGGGGGCAGGGGGGAGAAATGAAACCAAGCCTTGTATGCACATATGAATAATAAAAGAAAAATGAAAAAAAAAAAAAAAAAAAAAAAGAAACCACCTACAAAAAAAAAATAAAAATAAAAAAAATAAAATGGTTTTACCAGTTTCTACTCTCAAAAAAAAAAAAGAATATTGAGTAGTTTCTCTGAGACCCACTATGTGCCGGGAGCTCTTGTTCCAGTTAAGACAACCAAAAACATCTCCAGACACCATCAACTGTTTCCTGGAGAACAAAATGGTCCTTGGGCTGAGAACCACAGAGCTAGAAGAATGATCCTGTATATTAGTCAGTTGCTTGAACTGTAAAAAAAGCACAGAATTTGGACTGACAGTAGGGTACCACATAAATTACAGCACATTTATTCAGTACTTGCTCTTTTAAAATTAAATGTACTTTTTAAAATTTTGCAGTACTGGGGATTGAACCCAGAGCCTCCCACAAGCCAGACAAGCATTCTACCACTGAGTGAATCCCCACCTCAACTTCAAATGTCCACATTTTAACCAAAGCACCATATGGGAGTGAACTGAGCCTTTCCTTATGGACACTCCAAGCTTTGGGATTTACTTTCAGTTTTAGAATAACAAAATGTTACACAAATTAGCCAGCTACAAAAAAAAAATTGCAGGACCTCTTGACAAGTAGCCAAGATCTTGTCAATTTCTTTTAAACTGAGAAAATACTTTTCTCAGACTGAACAAAGCAGGGGAGAGTCAGCCAAATACAACCCTGGGCTCCAGGCCCAAGTTCTTTGGTTCAACAAATATTTGAGCATATTACATTTGCTGGGAATAATAATGTTAGAAAAATAGAGACTAGATCTCTTAACTGTTATAAAAATAATTAGCATGGAAGTACATTTTCTGTATTTCATGGGATTGTACAAAAAATACATTTTTCTGTGCCATCTGAATGTTAGCCACAGGAAATACACAGCTACTGAGTGTAAATGGCTAGTCTGAACTGAGAAGCGTTGTAAATGTGAAACACATTAGATTTCAAAGATGTATATTTAAAAAATGTTGAATACCTCATTACATTTTCAATCTACATATAAATACATATATACATACATATTCATATACATATTTATTTGTTTTGGTTTTTTTGGAGACAGATTCTTACAGTAGGGCTCAGACTGGTCTCAAACACAGGATTCTCCTACCTCAGCCTCCCACATACTGTCAAATTATATTTTGAAGTATTTTTGGATGCATTGGTTTAAATAAATTATTAAAATGAATTTCACCTCATTCTTTTTTTTCTTACTGTGCTACTAGAAGATTTCAAATAAACCATGTGGCTCGCTTTCCTTTTTCTCACATGCACCTGTACCTGCAAAGCAAATGCTCTACTACAAACCACACCCCAGCCTCACATTTTATTGCTATTGGATGGAGCTGTCCTAAACTCTGTTTTTGTGGCATCATTGTTAATGATAACAGCACTTCTTACTTATTTAGGTGTTTTCATTGGCATTCAGCAGGCACAAGTTCCCCTTGTACTTTTTAGGTGCTATAGATGAGACATAAGGAAGTGCTTGGGGTCTGGTGAATTGACTGACATTTGCATCATGGCTTGGCCACATGCTACTTAGTTAAGTTATTCAACCTCTCTAAGCCTCAGTTGCCTCATCTGTAGAATGAACAATATGTCTCACATACATGGTTTGTCTTCACTCATGACAATTCCAGAAGTATGATGTTATATCTGTATTTAAACTTTATTATTATTTTTTTTTTGGTGGTACTGGGGTCTGAACTCTGAGCCTCACACATACTAGGCAAGGCCCTCTACTACTTGAGCCACTCCACCAGTCCTTTTGTGTGTTGGGTATTTTCCACCAGCACCCGGCTATTTTTCAACTTTAAATAGAAAAGTCTCTTGAAGCTGTTGGCTTTAGGGCCATTTTAAAACTCAGCAGTAAAAGTAACAGCCATAATCATAGTTTGAAGATCTCTGTTGCCTGTGGGATAATGAGACAAATTTCAATCTATAGAAAAGTTCTTTCCTGATAAGAGCATAGCTGGGAGAGGAACCCTCTGGGCTCAGCAAGGTGTGGGCATCTAGGCATGTGGCTAAAGAGATTTTCTCTCCATACCCATAAGGACAGTAATTATTCCTCATAATTGTATGGTATGCTCTAGGTGAATGTAAAGTCACTTGATTCTATCAGCAAATCTTGATCCTACCAGAGGGCTTCCTAGGCAGGCCCTCTATCACTTGAGCCACTCCCCCAGTCCTTTTGTGTGTTGGGTATTTTCAAGATAGGGCCTTGTGAACTATGGGGGCTGGCTTTGAACCATCCTCTGATCTCTGCCTCCTGAGTAGCTAGGATTTCCTGTGTGAGCTACCAGTGCTATTTGGCCTAGAACAGGAGTTACATTATTTACCAATAGTGCTGATAACAGGCTAAAAATGTTCCCTCTTTTGCAAAGAGGGAACACAAAGTATACTATGAATATTTTTGCTTCATTGAAATCAACTCTAAACTGGGATTGGTGGCATATACCTGGGATCTAAACACTTGGGAAGTTGAGGCAGGAGGAGCAAGAGTTCAAGGCCAGACTGGGCTACAGTGAGACCCTGCATCAAAAATAAAAATCTACTAAATACAGAGATAATTCAAAATCATACACAGATAAGAATTATTGCCAGTACTGGGGTTTAAACTTGGGGCCTCATGCTTGGTAGGCAAGGTCTCTAACACTTGAGCCACTCCACCAGCACCAGGTAAGAATCCTTTAATTGATCATTTTGGCTTACCAATGATGTAGTTGTACTAGTTTTCTATTTTAATGATAGGTTTCAAAGTAAAAATTGCTCTCAACCTACAAATTTGGTAATAATTGCAGGTAAAAATACCAATTTTGTAGCTCAGTTCTTTCTTTACATGAGTGCTCATTTCAAGTTTGCTGTTGTCACTATGGAAATATTATTTGTAGCTGGAAGCCTGGAGGTTACAATTATTCATCATTTAACTAGTACTGTTCAAACACCTATGCTGTGCCAGCACAATAATAAGTAATCATTACTTTTTTTTTTTTTTTTTTGATGAGACTGGGGTTTGAACTCAGGGGCTTTGCACTTGCAAAGCAAGCACTCTACTGCTTGAGCCACATCTCTAGTCTATTTTGCTCTGGATCTTTTAGAGATGGGGTCTCATGAACTATTTGCCTGGGTTGGCCTTGTACCCCAAAGCCTAGCTACTCAGTCTCCCAAGTAGCTAGGATTACAGTCATGAACCACCAGCACCTGGCCATGTCATCTGTTTTAAATGCTATTTGAGATGTTCCAAAAGACTTGTGACTTCAAATAAAGCCATCAAGTCAAGACAACTTTTTTTTTAATTTGTTTATTTATTTTTTTGTTCATTTATTCACATGTGCATACATTGTTTGGGTCATTTCTCCACCTTGCCCCCCTCCCCCACTCTTCCCCCTCCCTCCCTCAGTTTCAGGCAGGTCCCGTTCTGCCCCTTATCTCTGATTTTGTTGAAGAAAAGACATGTATAATAAGAAAGACAAAGCGTTTTTGCTAGTTGAGTTAAGGATAGCTATACAGAAAGATTCCTACTTATTGTCAAGATGACTTTTGTTTTTCAACCTTGATTCAAGGGCTGGAGAACCACAAGTTGATTCGATAAACAACATATTTTAGGAAATGTATGACACTGAGGCATTGTGTGTTAACATAGCATCGTTCGAATGTTAACATCCTCGTTGTGGAACCAGAAAGACCTGGTGGTGAATCCTGGCTCTGTCCTTACTGGTTATGATACCTTGAATAACTTAATCATCCTGAGCCCCAGCTTGCTCATTTGTTATAGTGGGAACTACTGAAGGGTAGGTGAGATGATGTGTGTAAACCACAGAAATTAGTGTTAGCACTTACTAATTTCTCAAGAAAATATTTATTAATAAGAGGAATTAATAGGAGAAGTAACAATGACTATGATGGTAGTATTTACTTGAGTTAAGGGGCTTTCTTAGTAGCCTGAATTACCTAAAATATATAGAAAATAATAGGGATTTTGACTGGTTACTATTTTTATTTTCACATAAAGTTAACATAATGTCAGGCAAAAAAGTTTCAATATTTTGTTGTCTAAAATATTTTTGAAACATTAATCCATTTCAAAGATTAAAATATATTTGAACATTTTTATATGTGCCAAGTTCCTGTAGGATTTTGGCGTCATAAGATCCGGAGACTATTAACAGAACGTTACTATAGAAGCAAAAGTTTCAGAATATTTATATCAATATATAGTGTCCAATAAGAACAAATCCTAAATATTTAGCTAAATGCAAAACTTACCTTGTTTCTTTCTCTGAAAATTGTAGTTAGTGCTGATAAAATTCCAGTTAATTCAAAGTGCTTGACAGTGTTACTGACTCGTTACAATGATAATTTTTCTTATTCATTGTATAGAATTTGAATTTCTCAGATCTCAAATTTATTAATTGATAAACCAATTAAAAAGAGCCCCTAGTGAATTAAATAACCTCACATTGCGTCTCTGAGAGTTTTACTCACAATGGCCACAGGGTCATTGCTGCGAGTTGCAGCCAGGCTGAACTTTTTCACTTGAGTGTTGGTCTCCAGAGCCTTTGCAAATTCCTTCAGGGTTGGAATTGGAATGTTCTAAGGCAGAGAAGACATGAGCAGTTGATAAACTGTTCTACAGCACACCCACCCTAAGATAAAAACCTAGAACTTATTTTGATTTTTGATGGAATCCAAGGCCTCACATATGCTACGCAAGTGCTCTACCTCTGAGCTACGCTATCAGCTCCCCTACAACTTTTGAAAACCCATGTACGTTTAGGTGGCCAATGACATGACATCCCCTCCTAAAGAGGTTCACTACCCAGCCTCTGGCAACTAAGCTATCCTAAACCAATAGCACCACTTAGTGTTCAATAGCGAAATCTAACACAATCCTTAGTCAAGAAATTACGTGCGTACCATATATTGGTCTTTTTGTCTTTCATTCTCTATATTCTTTCCAGGTTGATGTACTTGCCATTCTTTTAATATTTCACAATCTCTTTTCCCTACATACCTTTACATATGCTTTTCCCCTTTGCCTGAAAATTCCTTTTGTCCTTTTCTCTGGTTAACTTTTACTCATTTCTCAAGATGGCACATAGTGAGTACTCAATAAGATCCAACACCATTTCATGATAAAAGCTCTAAGAAAACTAGGAATAGAAGGAAAGTACCTCAACATTATAAAAGCTATATATGACAAACCTACAGCCAGCATTATACTTAATGGAGAAAAAACTGAAACCATTCCCTCTAAAATCAGGAACCAGACAAGGATGCCCACTATCTCCACTCCTATTCAACATAGTACTGGAATTCCTAGCCAGAGCAATTAGGCAAGAAGAAGGAATAAAAGGAATACAATAGGTAAAGAACTGTCAAAATATCCTATTTGCAGACGACATGATCCTATATCCTTAAAGACCCAAAAAAACTCTACCAGAAGCTTCTAGACATCATCAATAGCTACAGCAAAGTAGCAGGATATAAAATCAACACAGAAAATCACTAGCAATTTCTATACACTAACAATGAGCAAACTGAAAAAGAATGTATGAAAACAATTCCATTTACAATAGCCTCAAAAAAAAATCAAATACCTAGGTGTAAACTAAGAAAAAGATGTGAAAGACTCTACAAGGAAAACTATCACTTCTGAAGAAAGAGATTGAGGAAGACTATAGAAAGTGGAGAGATCTCCCATGCTCATGGATTGGTAGAATCAACATAGTAAAAATGTCTATACTCCCAAAAGTAAATCTACATGTTTAATGCAATTCCCATCAAAATTCCAATGACATTCATTAAAGAGATCGAAAAATCTACTGTGAAATTTATATGGAAACACAAGAGGCCACGAATAGCCAAGGCAATACTCAGTCAAAAGAACAATGCAGGAGGTATCACAATACCTGACTTCAAAACTATATTACAAAGCAATAACAATAAAAACAGCATGAACTGGCATAAAACAGACATGAAGACCAGTGAACAGAATAGAGGACCCGATATGAAGCCACACAACTATAACCAACTTGTCTTTGACAAAGGAGCTAAAAAAATACGATGGAGAAATAGCAGCCTCTTCAACAAAAACTGCTGGGAAAACTGGTTAGCAGTCTGCAAAAAACTGAAACTAGATCCATGTATATCACCCTATACCAAGATTAACTCAAAATGGATCAAGGATCTTAATATCAGACCAAACTCCAAAGTTGATACAGGAAAAAGTAGGAAATACTCTGGAGTTAGTAGGTATAGGTAAGAATTTCTCAACGAAACCCCAGCAGCACAGCAACTAAAGAGCATAGATAAATGGGACCTCATAAAACTAAAAAGCTTCTGTTCATCAAAAGAAATGGTCTCTAAACTGAAGAGAACACCCACAGAGTGGGAGAAAATATTTGCCAGCTATACATCAGACAAAGGACTGATAACCAGAATATATAGGGAACTTAAAAAACTAAATTCTCCCAAAACTAATGAACAATAAAGAAATGGGCAAGTGAACTAAACAGAACGTTCTCAAAAGAAGAAATTCAAATGGCCAAAAACACATGAAAAATGCTCACCATCTCTAGCAATAAAGGAAATGCAAATTAAAACCACACTAAGATTCCACCTCACCCCTGTTAGAATAGCCATCATTAGCAACACCACCAACAACAGGTGTTGGCGAAGGATGCGGGAAAAAGGAACCCTCTTACACTGTTGTGGGAATGTAAATAGTACAACCACTCTGGAAAAAAATTTGGAGGCTACTTAAAAAGCTAGACATTGATCTACCATTTGATCCAGCAATACCACTCTTGGGGATATACCCAAAAGACTGTGACACAGGTTACTCAGAGGCACCTGCACACCATGTTTATTGTGGCACTATTCACAATAGCCAAGTTTATGGAAACAGCCAAGATGCCCCACCACTGACAATGGATTAAGAAAATGTGGTATCTAACACAATGGAATTTTATGCAGCCATGAAGAAGAATGAAATGTTATCATTCGCTGGTAAATGATGGAATTGGAGAACATCATTCTGAGTGAGGTTAGCCTGGCTCAAAAGACCAAAAGTGTATGTTCTCCCTCATATGTGACATTAGATCAAGGGCAAACAACAAGGGGATTGGACTATGAGCACATGATAAAAGTGAGAGCACACAAGGGAGGGGTGAGGATAGGTAAGACACCTAAAAAATTAGCTAGCATTTGTTGCCCTTAACGCAGAGAAACTAAAGCAGATATTTTAAAGCAACTGAAGCCAACAGGAGAAGGGGACCAGGAACTAGAGAAAAGGTGAGATCAAAAAGAATTAATCTAGAAGGTAACACATATGCACAGGAAATCAATGTGTGTCAACTCCCTGTATAGCTGTCCTTATCTCAACCAGCAAAAACCCTTGTTCCTTCCTATTATGGCTTATACTCTCTCTACAACAAAATTAGAGATAAGGGCAAAATAGTTTCTGCCAGGTATTGAGCGGGTGGGGGGGAGAGGGAGGGGGCGGAGTGGGTGGTAAGGTAGGGGGTGGGGGCAGGGGGGGAGAAATGACCCAAGCCTTGTATGTACATATGAACAATAAAAAAAAAATGATGCTAGTATTAAATGCTAGGAATTAGCCCAATAAGAATGAACAAAACAAGCTAGGCATTGGGGCGCATACCTATCATCCCAGCCCTGGGGAGGCAGAGGCAGAGGCAGGAGGATCACTAATTCTAAGCCAGCCTTGGCAACATAGCAAAATTAAGGACAGCCTGGGCTACATGATGAGACACTGTCACAAACAAACAAACAATAATAAAATAGACCTTAGGCAAGGCTCTCTCCCTCTCTCTTTATCCTTCCTCCTTCTCTCCTCTTCTTTCTCTCTCTCCTTCTCCCTCCCCGAGAGTGGCATGGCTTATCAAGAAACAGAATAAAGTGGAAATGACAACCTGTAACTTTAGAGACCAGGCCACAAAAGGTAAAGTGGACTTCTTCTGGCTGTCTTTTTTCACTCTTGGGTCACTTCCTTTGGAGGAAGTGGGTTGTCATGGCATGAAGACACTCAGGTAGCCCTTCAGAGCCCCTGTGGTGAGACATTGAGGCCTCTTGCCAACAGCTATATGAGTGCACCATCTTGAAAAGGGATCCTCTTGTCCCAGTCAGGCCTCTGGATATCTAAGCCCTGACAGATGGCTTCACAATAATCTCATTTGAGACCCTGAGCCAACTACCCTAAGTCACTCTCACATTCCTGACACTCAAAATTATTTGAAATAATAGTTTGCTGTTTGAAGCCTGAAAGATTAATCTGTTATTCAGCAACACATACAACTAATGTACTGTGTTTAACCTAAGTATTGTGAGTCTTTTCAAAGAATTCTATAAATCACTCTTCTTTTAGACTTACCTCTTTTGAAAAGGATATCAGTGACTACAAAGGACTACAAACAAAGTGTAACATCAGGTAGTAAGTCATTTCTAGTAAGTGTTCTGGCCTCATGCTAAGTGGCTGACAACAATCACAGTGAAGTACCTTGATGTTGTTGAGGTTGACCTCTTGCAGGCTGGGATCATTGGCTTTCATCTGCTGTAGACTGACTTCCACATTTGTGGGATTGGGTGGTTCTTCAAATACTGGCTTGACCTTTTCACCTTTGACCACATCTAAAACATAAGTTTTAATTTAAAAAAGAAAATGCAAGGGCTCTCCTATCAAAATAGAGATGACTGTCCCAGAAATGTGGATTCTTCATGTGCTCTGATTCCGATGATACTCTAATACCAATGATAGTGAGCTTATTCTCAGTTATGTGAACATGGGAACAGGATTGCTCTGAGTTACAGTTTGGAAGGCTGATGCTTCTCAACCACCGTGAGAAGTCTCAGTGGATGACACACTGCATACTTCCACAAATGCAGAAGGACCTAAAGCAACTGCAATCCCCACATATCCATGTACAGTTATTGCTGCTCTTTAGGGACCTCTTTCATACTATAATCACCAAGCCATGGAATCTGAGATGTAAAAAGACACCATAATAGGTCTCTCCATTTCACAGTTGTTTTTTTGTTTTTAATTTTTGGTGCTGAGAACTGAACCCAGGGCCTCATTCATGCTACTACTGAGCTATACCCTCAGCCCCCATTTCCTAAGTCTTAGGAAGTGATATCTTGATTATATATTGTCCTCCCTTAATTTCCATTTTGGAGCTTCAAAAATGTATGAAAAAATAAAGTCATGGGAAAGAAGAACGGAAGATTTCTCAAAAGCAATTAACATAAAATGTTTGGAATCCATTTATCATACAAAGATTAATATCCCAATATACAAAGAGCTCCTACAAATCAATACTACAACCCAGTTAAAAATGAACAAAGAATACACTCAGAAAAATTCTAACTCTACCAAAAAACATAAGAAGTAATGAAATTCTAAAATTAAAAAAATGAGATACTATTTCACTAGCAAACAAATAAATGTAAAAAGAGGTAATATTCAGATGTGGCAACTATGTTGGGGGGAAAAGCATCCTTTTATATTATGAATGGGAATGTGAACTGATGCAAACTTTTGGGGAGAGTAATTTGGTATCATCTATCAAACCTTATAATGTGCATACTGTATGACATAGTATTTCTATATTTAAACATATTTACAGAAAAAATAGCATGAATACATAAAGATATATAAATGTGTGTATATATATATTCAGTGATGTTTCCTGATGTGTTACTTGTGAGAGCAAAACAGGACAAACAAAATGTTCATCAATGTAAAAATGGTTGTTGATAGCATAATCACAAAACAACATGCTATCTACTCATCAAAAGAATAAAATAAGAGACCAAGGGAGGAGGAAAAGAAGGAAAGAAAGATTGTGAATCATAATGAACACATCTATCGTGTAGAACAGAACAGACAAAACAACAGTAAAGTGAATAAACTGCTGAAAATGACCACAGGAGGGAAACGGTCAAAGAAGTCAACAGGCGGGGGGGGGCTACATTACTCCTAGCACAAACATGCAACAGGTATACGATACCCAAGGCAAAATCCCACTGACCATGAAACAACACCTAATCAACGAAGACAGGAATGGAAAAAACAGATCACACTCCAGGGGAGGGCACTAACTGAAGGGAGAGGGTAAAAAGAAGGAAGTGAAGGTGAAATATGGTTGACATGCACTTTCTATAGCAAAAAGGAAAATACAATTTAAACTGTTAAACACACCACAAGAGAGGACAAAGTAGAAAGAGAAAAATGGAAGGATGAACCAATTTGGTATCACAAACACCAACATATATAAAAATATGGAATATCATAGTGAAACACTCTGTTACAGATTTTTGTATAAGATAGCTTTTTTTTGTATAGAGATTTTTAAACAAACAAAAATCATCTTTTTCCTTTTTTTCAAAACAGAGGACAGAAGAAACACAGCCGTTTGGTCCAGTGGGAAGGGGGAAGATAAAGGAAAGGGTGTAAGGAGGGTGAATGTGGGAGATATTATGCCATTATGACAAAGGAAAAAACCTGTGAAACTATCTAAAGAATGGGGGAAGCGGAATAAAGAGAAATGAAGAGGGGTCAATTTAAGATATATTGTAAGCACTTGTAATGTACATGGCTCCAGTAAAACAGTATAAATTACAAAATGAAACAAAAAGGCATAAAGTAAGCAGACATGGGGTCAAGCCTGTAATCCTAGGGAGCAAAGACTGAAGGATCAGTTGTAGGCCAGCCTGGGCAAAATGTTCATGGGACACCATCCACACCCATGGCTAGGTACAAGTGTATACCACCTGCCTCCAACTAAGCCACGACCCACAAATAGAGGACACACGTCCAGCCAGTCCGTATGCAGGGAGAATCTACTCAAACACGACACAAAAAGGGCTGGCAGAGTGGCTTTCAGTAGTGAGTATCTGAAAAAATGGTATCTGCGTACATGTATATGTGTAAAAGCCAGAAGGCTATATACCAAATTGTTAACAGGGAACATGTTGCTAGAATGTTACCCTTTGATACTAAAGCTCGAAAGGATAAACATTTTCATCTGCAGGCACAAGAAGCCAGAAAGAAAAAAATAAAAGGAGTATCGCTCATACTCCTTATATATGGCTATATAACCCACGATAAACCACAGTTCAAAAACATGCTACTGAAGCCAGGCATGGTGGTGTTCATGGTTATAATCCCAGCACTTGGGAGGCTAAGGCAGGAGATTTGTAAGTTCAAGGGCAGCCTGGGCTCTATAGCAAGACCCTGCCTAAATGAATAAATAATTCATCTTAGAGAAGTTATGATCTGCACCCAGATCACGCTGTGCTAAGATTATCTGATTAGTAGTCTGTACCCACCCAAGAGAGGTAAGTTCTTTTAGGCAGGAATCAATATTTATTTTTGTGCCTAAGCCAGGAACATTCCAGAGACACAACGGTAGTAGATGACTGATGCACAAGTGAGAAAGTCTAGTTAACTGACACTTCTCCATGAAATGTGGAGCTAGAAGACAGTGGACTGGAACTTCTGTGCCAGAAAACCCAGGTCAGTGTGTCCTTCTTGCTCTATGGGGGAAGTAGGTATCATATTCTAACAACAACCCAAATTATTAAAAAGACCCTGGAATAGAGACGGGAACTCAGTCAAGCTACCCTAACTGAAACATCCAAGGCACATGAAACTTTGTTTGTTTTCAGTGCTGACTATGCAACTTTTTATTGGTGATTTTTCTCTTTTGACTAAACACACTTATTAAGAAAGTGGTCCTAGTTACACTCACTGGTCTCAGTCACACTGCCAGACACAGCTCCTTTATCAGTTTCCTATGCCTGTCTGATTGTTTAGAGCCTGATGATCTCTGCAAAAGGCAACAGGCCTCTCTTCCACCAGCAACAGGTGGAGGCTCTAAGGCCTCACAAAATGGCAGATTCCATATTAACTTACTCCTTACGGGGCCCTTGCCACCTTTGCTGTTGGTTGTTTCTTCATCAAACTTTGGATTGTTGAGTAAATTGTGTACTCCAAGGACAGCTGAAAACAAAGACAACAATGAATGCGCACTGAGTTTGGAGAAACACATTAGGATATTCACAATGTTAATTTGGCCATCAAAGAACAATTCTTCTTATCACAAAGATAAGACTCCAAGTCCCCTTTTCTTGCACATTGTGTGGTACAGTTAAATATACTTATTTTTAAACCCTCTTTCCAAGTCCACCAGTAATGTCTTCTGTATCTGTGTAGAATCATTTAGGATCTGAAAAGCAATAGCCTAGTAATGTATCCCAAGTGAAAATCCTACTAGTTAAGTAGACTTAACTATTGGTTTTCTTATCCAACAAATAAGAAGGTGGGATTGAGTCTGAGGATTTTAAAGATCTAAAATGTATAGATTGTTAAGGTTGTGGTTCTCCTTTGGTGCGGAAAGGAGTTGTCCTTTTCTGCCCTTCAGCATCCCAGAGTGGGAAATAAGACAAGTGACACTGATAATAACAGGTCAGTGAAGCATATTGAAGCTTTAGTCTCCTGTAGTACATGGAACTTGCACCAGGAGGCAGCACAGCACACAGGAAGCAACACTGGGGCTGGGTAAGTGCTGGGCAGGCTGGAACACATTTCCCTCTGCTAGTGCAATTACAGTGGGAGGCAGAGGCCTCTGAGGTCCTCATCAGCTCTCTTCAAGGCTCCATATTAGGAGGGAGGCAATCACAGGAAGGGCAAATGGTTACGACCAGTAAGAACAAGAGTTAAGGCTGGGCATAGTGGAGCATGCCTGTAATCCCAGCATTTGGAAGACAGAGGTAGGTGATGGAGAATTCTAGGCCAGCCTAGGTGATACAGTGAGACCCTGTCTTAAAAAGCCAAAGGCTTGGGATATAGCTCAATGATAGAGGGCTTGCCTAGCTTGTACAAGGCCCTGGGTTCAAATCCCACAATAATAATAAGAACAACAACAACAAAACTAACAACAATAGTTAAGAAGGGACTCTGGAGCAGTCAGCTAAAGTTTGAATCCTGACTCTTCACACACTAACTTGTGTGACTTGGGAAGTCACTAAATGTCTCTGAGTCTATTTCCTCATGGAACAATTAATCTTGATTGTCAACTTGACTGGATTTCTTTCTTTTCTATCATCTTTCTTTCCTTTTTTTTTGAGACAGTGCTTGGATTACAGTAGTGCGCCATGATGCCTGGCTTGACTGTCAACTTGAATGGATTGAGAAGTATGCCTAGGAGACTAACAAAGCACTCCTCTGGGTGTGTCTGCAAGGGCATTTCCAGAGAGGACTGACTAAGGGGAATGGAGGAGACCCAACCTGCATGTGGGCAGCACCATCCAAAGGCTGGGGACAAGGATGGAATAAAAGGGTTAAAAGGAGAGAGCCCACTAGCCAGCATTCTCCTTCTTTATGCTATGATATAAATGACTGTTGCCACACCCTCCCTCCCATGCTGGACTCGAACCTCTGAAACCATGAGCCAATGTAACTCTTTCCTCCCTTAAGTTGTTTTGTTAGTGATGAAAAACTAACACACTTCATCTGCAAAATAGGGATAATAGTTACACCTTACTTATCACAGAGATGAAATGACTTCTGAGACCACACCACAAACACATCTTCTTGCTCTGACCCTGTACTCACCAAGCAACTTCTATTTAAAATTTGGCTCTCATTGTCAAGTTTTGCTAACACTTTAAAAGATGGGGGTCTTTCTAAGTCGACCCTGATCTTCTGGATTCAAGAAATCCTTCTTGAGTAGCTGGGACTACAGGTGCATGCCACTGTGCACAGCCCAAGTTTTAAATTTCCATTGTTTTGGTGTGTGTGTGTGTGTGTGTGTTTTGGTGTGTGTGTGTGTGTGTGTTTTGGTGTGTGTGTGTGTTTTGGTGTGTGTGTGTTTTGGTGTGTGTGTGTGTGTGTGTGTGTGTGTTTGGTGTGTGTGTGTGTGTTTTGGTGTGTGTGTGTGTGTGTGTGAGTGTGTTGTGTGTGTTGTTGTGTTTGGTGTGTGTGGTTGTTGGGTGTGTGTGTGGTGTGTGTGGTGTGGTTGTGTGTGTGTTGTGTGTGTGTTTTGGTGTGTGTGTGTGTGTGTGTTTTGGTGTGTGTGTGTGTGTGTGTTTTGGTGTGTGTGTGTGTGTGTGTGTGTGTGTGTTGGGTGTGTGTGTGTGTGTGTGTGTGTGTTGGGGATTAAGTCCAGGGCCTCATGCTTGCCAGACAAGTACTCTACCACTTGAGCCACCCCCCACAGTCCTTTTGCTTCCAGCCTGTTTTTCAGAAGGTCTTGTGCTTTTTACCCAGGCTGGCCTCACACCACAATCCTCTGCCTCTTAAGAAGCTGGGGTTGCAGGCATGTGCCACCTGCATGTGGTTCCAAGTTTTAATTATCTATTTCTCTATCAACCTACCTATCTGTCTGTTTGTCCATCTATCCATCCATCCATCCATCCATTTATTTAGCTGTACTGGGGTTTGAACTCAGGGCCTTGTGCTTGCAAGACAGATCTTTAGCACTTGAGTGACACTCTCAGCCCTCCAAGATTTAATTTTTGTCTCATCTGTTTCCTGAGAACCCGATTCCACTCTGATGCCTCTGTTCAGACTGACGTAATCAAATCTCTAGACCAATAGGGCTGAGAAAAAGACCAGCTGCCATTCCTTTGACAAACTTCTTGCTCTTCTGCTCTCTACCTGCCATAGTAACTCCAAGGCATTGACACTTCTTATCTAAACCTCAATGGCTAACAGTCCATCCACTTATGGAGCTGCCCTCAATCTTCCAGAAAGATCCACCCTAAAGCCCCACACCCAGCCAAGCTTCCTCCTGAGTTCCTAGGGGGGTTCTGATGAGGAAGGGAGGCTGAGGAAAGATAAACGAGGACAGTTTTCTATTTGTATCATCTATCTTTATTGTCTGGATTTTAGGACCTAGTGTCCTCCAAATGATGGGGGTTTTCTGTTTTCACAGCCTTTCCTGGGAATTCAAGTCCCGCCCTGCATTCTTCCTTTGGGCAATTCCAATAGAGTCATTGGCAACCCTTGGGAGGATTAGTAACCATGGGAGGCTCTCTCCACAGTAACCACGGTGCTAAGACACCCAGTCACTGACAACTACCTTCTTCACCGGTGCCACGGCTTCTGCAGGAGCTCCAAGAGACACTCAGATATGTGACCTCAACATCACACACTTCTGTGACATCATCACAGAAGGAATACAAATGTGGCTGTGATGGCAGCATGCATGAGAGGTGGTTCTCCTGGGAGGAAGGGAGTTATTATTACATGTGTCTTTTAGTGGAATAAACATGACAGTTTATTCTAAGGCTGTGGTCTGATTTTGTTTTGGTGCTGGGGATTGAACCCAGAGCCTTTCACATGCTACACCCTCAGCCCTGCAGACTGGCTTTTAAAGCACCTTTATTTGTGGTGACCTAATAGCCTTGTGTAAGGGGGAAGATGTAAAAACATACATATAGTAGCACATGTAGGGAAGCTTTCTTGAAGGCTAAACAAAAAAAAATGGGAGGTAGGTAATTTGGGAGAAAAGACTTAACTTTCTATTTCATTTCTTTTGCACTATTTGAGCTTTTTATATCTGCATGCAAAATCAACTTTAATAACCATATTAGCATTATTTTTCTATTGTTAAGAAAACTAGAAGGCTAACGGACTTCTTAGTGTGATTCAAACTGCAATGGCGACTGTGAGGAAGAGTAAGAACTCCATGGAAATTGCAATAAAATGTATTTTAAAATGAAAGCTCGTTGGACACCGTAAGGGCTGTCATTATATTTTCTAAGTTCCCAACACTCTTTTATTTCATATTTGGTCTGTTTGATTTCTCGCATAGCTGGCAGTTTGTAGGATAGACATTATTTGGACCTTTTACAGCAGAGTTGGAGGAAAATAAGATGTGCTCAGAAAGGTTAAGTCACTGTATTGTCTTCTAGCTACATGATGGCTGGAGTCAAACCTGGTCATATACTCAGTAGCTACAGAGAAGTTCAAAGGCTGGTGCCAGGGGTAGCAGTGCATGCGTTTGAGTCAGGATAAATTAGTGAAAGTTTGGGACTCAAAAAAAAAATTACATCTTATAGTAACCATGCTTTGGCTCAGGAACCACTCTCACCTGGGCAGGAACAGCCTATGCCCCTCACCAATCATTATTATTGGGTGTGACTCTCCTTATTCTCCCCTTACCATAGGTTATCGCAGGTTTTAAAAGCACCTGAAGAGCAGAAACATGCTCCCTCGGCTTCCAGCTTCCATCTGGGTTTTACCAGGCTTCCCTTTACATTTCCCTTCCCTAACTTTTAATAAACTCCATTTATACCCACGTGTCCTGCAATGGATTCTTCCCAGTGGGATACAAAGAATTTGGAAGTCTTCTGATCACAGACTGCACCAGCACTGTTAACACTGAAGGTCACAGGGCCACAGCTGATGACTAACCTGCAAGATCGTAGAGTTCAGTGTCGGAGGCAGTGGCCAAAGCTTCTTCCAGTTCTGGGTCCAGGGTCACTTTTTCTTCTTTACGAGTTTCTACAGGCTTTTCTTTGGGGATAAAGACTCTCCCTTTAATCAGAAGAGAAACAAAAAATATTGCATGTTTCTTCCTTATTGGTAGGGCAAGTGCACTGAGCAAAACATGGAGCTCTGGTCATTAAGACGTGTACCATTAAGCCATTTCCTATCCAACTGAGATTCCTGAATTGCTGGGATGGGGCTAATATCCATAATCCACTATTCAAAGGAAGGAACACTGGAGGGGGACATCCTGTATTCTACTACACAAAATGCAGAGGGAAACAGTGTCTTCTACACCCCTATCATTGGCAGCACTGCTCTTGGGCCTGGGCCCCGCATCTTAGATGGTCCCACTCCAGTCTTCCTCTGGCTGAATCTCTCCCCACCAAGGGAGATTCCACGAGGCCAAAGGAGCATTCCCCTTCAGGACACCTGCTAAACCATACTCCAGGCCCCCAAGGGCTTGGAGTTCCCTGCCCAGAGTCCTGAGTCTGCTTCCATGGACTCCTTCCCATGTCCATCCTTCTGAAGGGAAGTTACGCTGTTGCAGCAGCATATCCAGGCCAATTAGGAGGCCTTTTGGGGGAAGTATAGATGAAGCTTGCACATGTGGGCAAGGGTGTCCATCATGTGTGCTTGAGGCCCTGGTGGTATGGCACAGACTGACATCCTACATGGAACCCTTGTTAGTCCAAGAATACTGGCCTCTTAGGTATACTTGTAGGAGGATACAACCTATTTTAATGGTTTGTTTACAATATTTGGAAAAAATGGCATGTGGGCTTCTATTTATATTATTGCCTTGGACCCTACAAATAATGGAGGGGGCAGGCTCACACAAGCAGCATGAAAGGTTCCTGGGAGACAAACTGGTGACACACAACCCCTTCTCTAATTTTCTACTTGAATTGGGATTGTAGAACCACTAGGATGCTCTAAGTGTGGCCGGTTGTTTATTCATTCCTTTCTTGTGGTCTTAAAATTTGAACTCAGGGCCTTGCACTTACTAGGTAGGTAATCCACTACTTGAGCCATGCCTCCAGCAACTGTCATCAGTTGGACTATGTGGTAACCTGGGGACACAGTACACGACAACAAGTCTGATTTTAAGGAAAACTCAGAGTCTCTATACTTAGAGATTGTGGGGTCTTTGAACAGCAAGACATTTTGTGCTTCCTATAGATGCATTCTCTCCCACCAATATTCACCTCATCCTGCCAGTCAGATTGCATTTATTTTGCTCCTTGCTCACTTCTGAGAATGGTGGTACCTATGCCCTATCCATACCCCAAACTCTGGACCAATGAATCACATTGCTGTGAGAATGGCACAGGACCTGTTCCTAATGCCCAGTCAGGGCAAGTCACCCGTATCCCTGTATCCCACACGTGCAATGGCTGACAAAGGAAAGCCCAGGGCATTCCAGAGTCATCACATCATACCACAGACTTCTTCATTCCCTTCCAATTCTTCCCGGCTTTTGACTCCTGGCTTTCTCTCTCTCTCTCTCTCTCTCTCTCTGGAGTTACTCTTACTTCTTGGGCATGATCTTTAAAATTCGTCTCCTCCCTTCTGATCTCCAGAGTTCCTTATGACTCACCCTACTATTGTCTTTGTTTTGCCACTTTGGATAGAACAGACAGTTGTGTCCCAGTTGACTAGCTGGGACACAAGCTCTTTTTAGATCTTGGCTAGCCTGGCCTATCCCACTCCTATGGGAAAGGAAAGGATCAAACCCAAAGTCAGTAACCTTACTCTTTCAAGAAAATTCTCCAGGAGACTTCCCTGGTTCTAGGAGCTGTGTACTTCTGATGGCTTACCACTTTGCCAAATGGTTAGATAAGTGAATAGGAACCAGTCAGAACTGGACAGCCCAAAGAGGGGAAAGGAGGATGCTGGTTAGGGTTGTGTGGGGCATCCTGGGAGCAAGGCCTCTGTCATTGCCAACAACGTACTTTCTGCCATGGCATCACACAATCTGCCACATTTTCCAGAAAGAAGGAAAATACACTGGGAAGAAAGGAGGATGGTCAGAAATCAGAAAATGAAGAAAAATAAAATCAACCAATCAATAACATCTCAAACACTGGCACTCATCTCAGACTTAATTTTCACACTCTCTGCAGCCTGGATCATGTTCTTTCTGGCTCAAATGATTTTGTGTTTAGAGTCAAAAATAGCATTTCTAAGTTCCTCCTTCCTGTCACTGTTTAAGATTATCTCAAACACAAGGTACACAGGTGACCCAACAGCTATGTGGGTCAGGACAACTTCTCAGACAGGTCCATTCCTGAGGGTTTAGCCAAACAATAATTTTTAAGTGAAGAAAGCTGCTCCAAAGACTTAAATCTAGCCCTGGAACCTGAGGTACTACAGAATACTACATTAAGAATTAGAGTTGTTAGGTCTTTTTTCTGAGGATCCCACTACAGCCTCAGGATAGCCTCCTGATGCTCCCAGATCATCTCACTGGTCCTTCCAGGATATGGGTGCTACATACTCCTCACTCTGATCCCACTGCTCTGCTTGGAAAACTTACTACCTGCTTATTTTTATCTAATTGTGCTCCTTCCCAACCTTCTCCTAAACTACACAGCATGACTGGATCTCCCTTTTATACTCAGAGAGCTTTTGCAAGCCTAACTTCCCAACCCACCTGCAGCATAATGTGGATGAAGAAATAATTTGCTATGGCCATTTCTCAGACCTCTTCTCTGAGAACAAAAAACAATAGCTTTCCCGTTATTATGCTGTCACTATTCCAGTACTTGATGTTTATTGCAATTTTACTGAAGATTTTACATTACAATTTCTTTCACAATTCAATTAGTCCTGTAGCAACTGTGCTGCCATAGACACAGCCCCGTATCCCCGTATTTCTGTAGTAATCCCAGCACAGTTCAACTTTCCTTTCCTAATGACATTCTCAATAGTGTGTGATCCATGAGATGTGCATGATTCAGAGAAGACAGCAGGGCTGACCTATGCTGACTGAAGAGGTGAGTGCTTTATTCCCACTACCATCACACAGAAGCTCAGACAGCATTCACTTGAACCCAAACTAGTAGAGCATCCCACTCTCATGTTGGTTTCTATGCAATCCTACTGCAGAATCTCAACCTGATGTGGGAAACACACACCACCAAAGTAAACAAAATGATCAACCATGATGAACACGTTCACAGTACTGTGAAAGCAATACCCAAGTGTCATGACAGAAAGAAGGGGACCAGAACAGATGGAGAGGTCGGGAAAGCTTGAAGCCCTGACATTAAGATTGAATTTCTGGATATGAAAATGGGATGTGGGTCACAAGGAAGAGTCCATGAGATTGGGTTAATATGGAAAGAATTGGGTAAATTTGGGAAAGTGAATGGAGACATGGGGCTGAGGTGTAAGTGAGGGAAGGAAAGATGCAGTCCAAGAAGTGGTCCTTGGAGAGACCAGACCCACACTGAACATCACAGTACAGACTTGGGACTTTAGGCAGGAAAGTGATGCGATCTGCTGTGTTTTAAAAAGAATCTATCTGCTATTGGATCATCAATGATTCCATTAGTAGCCATGGGCCCAAGTCACTGTAGCTGAGGAAGAAGGACAGGCAATTAACAGCTACTAGCTCCATAGGCTCAAGAGCCAAAGAGGATAACTTCATTGTCTTGTCTTGGAGCTCAGTCCTGGCACAGAGAAACATACCAGGGCTTCCCAGCTTCCCAGCTCATTTTCTCTAGCTAGACCACAAGCTCCTTGAGGGCAGGGCAGGGCCCTACAGACCTGTGGTCCCAGGTGCACATGGCTGCACACAGGAGAAGTGCTCTGCACATGCTGGGTGAATGAATGACTGACTGCACTGCCTTTCACTGTAGCACCCAGGTTAGGAGTATAGTGCTAAAGCCATCCTTGGCATGGAATAGAAGGGCCTTATGGGGACTTCTGCAGCTGTAAAGCACCACACTAAAGGAACACACAGGTTCCTATAGAACTCTCATGCAGGTAAAACACCTGTTTACATCCTCAAAAACTTTTTCTTTGAAGTTTGAGATTTTTTTTTCACAGAACAAATCTGAGGACCATCACCCCATAAGTATTCATTTAATTAACCCACATATCTGCCATGATTTTTTTTTATTTTAAACTACAAAGCTTTAATTATTAGAGCAGTTCTAGATTCATAGCCAAAGTAAGCACAAAATACAGAGAATTCCCTGTGCCTTGTCCTAAGCCTCCCCACTAACATCCAGCACTACAGTGGTGCGTTGTTCTAACCGATGAACCTGTATGGACACATCATTATCACCCAAAATCCATAGTTTACCATAGAGTTCACTCTGGGTGTTGCACATCCTGTGGGTTTGGACAAATGTAGAATGGCATGTATCCACCAGCCATGGTGTTTTAAAATACTATATCCAGTCATGGGCTTATTTCCATTTCTAGGTCAGGCCCCTTGCTTGACTCTTTAAGACAAAATATTAAGAGTACCTTTATCCCATCAGAACTGTGTCCTTACCTTTCTTTTCTCCAGTGAAGGGCACAAAGTCTTCCCTGTCTTTCTGTTCCAAAGCCTCCTTCTCCAGGTACATGAGGAGGTGTTCTCGGTCAAATGGGCCAGTGGCTGCTTTCTGTGTCTGGTCTTTCTGTCGGAATCCAGCGGGTAGCATTGCACTCTGATAAGACAAGACAGAGGTGTGAGCAGGATGGACTATACTTTGCTACTTCTCTCTTTTCCCCCTGCAAAGATGCTGTGTGAACTGAGGGCAGGGTCTCTGGTATGTCTCTGAGGTCCTACTTATTCTAATATCCTGTACTGAGAGGAAGGTATCCAACAAGCTGAAACAGAGCAGAGCTCTGGGCCTCGTGCAGCCGCCTTGTAGAATGTGGTACCAAAAGGCCTCTTTCCTATTGATCACACTTAGGTTTAGCTAGGTGTGTACCCGGTGTGCTCACAGGTTGCTCAAACACTACATTCTCTCACTTCTAACACATTTTCTGCAGAAATGTCAAGCAGAGAAGTGAATATTATGGTAGAAATTAATATTTGCTTGATTAAGCTTTGAGATTCCTTCTTTAAGTTTAAAAAACAAAAACCAAGTACTTCATTTCTCAAAGTGTCTGGTATATCAGAACGGTCATGCCATTCTTCCTGGACTACCACTAACCATTCCACTTCAGGTCCATGTCACTGACCTCAGGATCTAGGTCATCTAGAACATTTTCCAACTGTTTCAGTTCCTCCTCTGAGAGCTTGCCAAGGAGTTCATCTTCATCGATGTTCTTGTATTTCTCCAGCTCTTTTTGAAAAGGGAGCGCCATGGCTTCTCATGTGCCTTTCTCAGGCACTGTGCACCTTGAAGTAGGCCAGCTTCCTGAGGCTTCACACCACTGCTAATGAAATAGAAATACTATGTCTTCTTTCTGTTAGCAAGACTTATTACTAGGAGACAGTGCTCTGCTGTTAATGGAGTCTTTTGGACAGATAGTTTGACTGAAAGGGAATATCACCTTCATTTTCAGATCAATGTGGTGGCTTACAAAGCGATTTCATATAGAGTATTTTATCTCACTTATTTTATCTTTATGGCAACCTTGTGAGAAGCATGCACTGATAAAAGCACTCTCATTTCATAGATGATAACTCTGGGGCAAAGGTGGCCCCAGGCCTTGCTCAAGGTCACAGCGCTGGAACGTGTGAGTGGCTTCTGATTCCCAGTGTAGTGAGTGCTTTTCCATCTTAGTACTTTGCCTCCCCCAGCTTTCCACAGAAAAGCAGGGAAGAACAATGCCCTAATTGTGAGGCAGTTGTAAGAAGCGTACTTGTGTCTTTGCAGGGAGAGAGGGATGTGAAGAATACAAAATGGGATTCACTCAGGAAAGAGAGTTTAGAAGATCTATGTGAGAAAGCATTGTCCAGGAACTGCCCTGCAATTAAACTAAGTGAGAGTCTAAAACCCTGGCCACATAATCACCCTCCCTACTTTTCTGCTTTATCTTCCATTCTCATCTCCTTTTGTTTAGCCACCCTCTCTAATTCTCCTTTCTTTACACCCCTTGGCCATTCTCCCTTCAGCACTCCCCTCCACCCCAGTTACCACCTTACTCCTAAACTTTCACCCAAAATGAAATCTTTACTCAGTCCCTTGCAGCGGACTTTACAAATCTCCTTAGGAAGGATACTGCTTTCAGTCACCAACCAGATCTTTCAAAGCAATAGATATTTATCGCATACCATGATTTCCAGGCACAATTCTAGAAAACAGGAATACAAAGATAAATAAGATAGGACTCAGTCTTCCAAAGAGCTCACACTCAGTGAGACAGTCATACGCAGAACAGCAAAAATATCATGGGATAAGTGTTAGAAGTAATGGATAGGGGGTGGGGGCAGGGGGGAGAAATGACCCAAGCCTTGTATGCACATATGAATAATAAAACAATAAAAAAAATAAAGCCCTGAGGGGAAAAAAAAAGAAGTAATGGATAAAGTAGGTTTTAAAGACATATGAAGAAATCATCATTAGGTAAGGGCAGGGAAGGGTTGGGGGGGAGCTCTGCAAATAGAAGTTACATTTGAGCTTTGATAAGATGGACATAGGAGGGCAAGGGCCATTCTAGGAAAAAGAACAGCACAAACAGAGACACAGGAGAGTACATGACATGGTGGTGGAATAGATGGGTGGCTCGAAAGGAGGAGTCATGGGGGAGGGAGAGGAAAGAAGCAAAGATAAGAATAGGATGCCTGTGAAGGGCTTTGCTAATGGACCTGGGTCTTACTCTGATGGGGACCAGAAGCTACCACAACACTTAAAGCAGGGGAGTGTTTACTGCTTTTTTACAAGGCAGTGAAGAATGGTGAGAATGAAGAATGGGAAGATGGAAGTGACTGGTTGCAGGTGGGCCACTCAAGAGTCTATAAGATGTTGTTCCCTCCTCCTATTAGCTCCACTGCTCATGGTCAGGTGATCTTCTTACAGGCAATATAAACCTCTTTCTCTCCCCTTAGTCCTCTTCCTTTCACGCTTCAATTGCTATATTCCAGTCAAACACACAAAAAAAGGGCCTAGGATGCAGCTAAGTGGTAGAGTGCTTGCTTAGCATAAGTGAGACCCTGGGTTTGATCCACAGCACCAAAAGAACAACAACAAAAAGTTCTACTAAAGTCAGAGAAACTAACTGGATCCTACATACTTTGCTCTGGTTCCATATGCCACTAATTTATTGTGTGATAGTGAACAAGGATCTTATTTGCCAGGCTCTTATCCATCCAATGAGCTACTCTATTTAACGAATTGATGCACAAGTTACCACATGTAACATTCTGAAATTGAGATGCATCTTCCATGGTGTCCTGTAAGTACTGTTGCCTGAGCAGCTGTCAACATGTACTTGTCATGTACATGACATCAAAAACACCAGCTTCAAAACTAGCAGAATGGGTGTCAAGGGTTTAGAAGGAACAACTGTGGAACACTCTTTTAAAACCTGGGAAGCAAACCAGGCATGGTGGTATACAGCTGTAATCCCAGCACTCAGGAAGTAGGGCAGGAGGATCTTGAGTTCTAGGCCAACTGGGGTCACATAGCAAGTTCAAGGCCAGCCTGAGCTACATAGTGAGACCCTGTCTTAAAACAACAACAAACCCAATAACTTAGGAAACAAAGCACCATGAGAGGTGGCAGTACAGGTGTGTTTAGTGCAATGTAAGGTTCGGATTAGGCTAGTTTTGCATCATTACAGAGAAGTAAGTGCTCTCTACAAGAGCAATGACTTTAGTTCTTTTACAGATTTTGTTGTTGTTGTTACCATTCTTGATGGCACAGAGACATCGTGTGGAAAAAAAACTAGACAATGAGGCCTGTGAATTGAAAAGGGACTTTAAAAGTTGAACTCTGAACATGCAGAAGTTTTAAGAATATCAACCACTTCATTTTATATACATTTCCTATTTTTACATATGCACGGGACAGATGATTTTTAAATCAACGTATACTCAAAACAGTTTTATTTATAACTGCCCAAAACCATAAACAATCTAAATGATTCTCAATAGGTGAATGAATTAATAAATTATGGTATAACCATATAATGGAATACTTCTCAGCAATAAAAAGGAGTGAATTAGCAATATAAGAACATGGGTCAACTTCAAAATAATTATGAGTGAAAGGCCAGTCCAACAAGACTGTGTACTGTATAATTCCATTTGTCTAAAATCCTAGAAAATGCAAACTGATCCCTACAAGAGGAAACAAGTCATCAGTGCTTAAGAATGGGAGACAGATGGGAGGGGCTGAACAAAGGGATGACAAAGGGCGTGAGGAACTCTGGAGTAGGCCTATGTTCACCACCCTGCTATGGTGATTGTGTCACAGGTACAAGCCTTGTCAAATTGTACTCTTGAAATATGAGCACTGTATTGTATGTCATTTATACCTTAATAGAAAAGAATTTAAAAACTGTATGTAGAGTCTATTTTTAAATGTATTACTATAGTGTTGGTGTTGGGGATTGAACTCGGGGTCTCACATGTGCTCTATCACTTTAGCCATGCCCCCAGTCTTCTAGCTTTTAGTTTGTTTTACTGATAGGGTCTTGCACTTTTTTTGCCTGGCCCAGCCTCAGACCAAGATCCTCCTACCTCCACATCCTGACTAGCTGGGACCATAGGCGTGTGCCATCACATTTCGCTTGTTTTTGAGACAGCATCTAACTAACTTTTGCTCAGGCTGACCATGAACCGAAATCTCTCTCTGCTTCCCAAGTACCTGGGATCATAGGCATAAGCCATTTCACCTGGTTGTCTATGTGGAAGTCTAAAACAACTCTTTCAATAAAGTAAAAAATTGTATTTTTAAGAAAGCACATGTTGGGCTGGGGCACAGTTCAAGTGGTACGGCCCTGGGTTCAATCCCCAATACAGCAACAGGAAAAAAAAAGAGAGAGAGAGAGAGAGAGAGAGAAAGAGAAAAGAAAAGAAAAAGCAAGCATGTGTCATATTTTGATTGACAGCCCCTGCCTTTTTTCTGTTGGTGAGACAGGGTCTCACTACAGTAGCTCAGTGTGTCTTTAAACTTGCTATATAACCCAGGCTGCACTGAACTTACTGTGTAGTCCAGGCTGGCCTTAAACTCTTGATCCTCCTGCCTCAGCCTCCTGAGTGCTCGGATCACAGGTGTGTACCACCACACTAAGCTCTAACTGCATCTTGAGATGTTTTTGTTCTTCCCTCTAGGGCATTATGATTGGGCCATCTTTCTCAACACTACTAACAAGCCACTTCCTTGATTAACAACTTACAATGGCTTCATCTTCTCTACAGAATGAAACTCGTACAGTCTAGTACCCCAAATTCCTGTAATTTGGCTTCGACCTGAGCTTTCTGTTTTCTCTCTCATTACTTTCCTGGAGAGCCCTCCCCTCCATCCAAAATGATTTGTTCACTGTCTATGACAGGAGAATCATGCCTCTTAAAGATATTCACATTTAACTCCCAGTCCTATGATTATGCTATTTTATGTGGCAAAGGAGACAAGGTATGATTGAATTAGAGTTTTAACACAGGGAGAATGCTCCTGTATTATCTGGGTATAAGCTAATCCAAAATGCTCTTAAAAGGTGGAAGAGGAAGGGTTGGGGATTTAGCTCAGTGGAAGAGCGCTTGCCTGGCAAGTGCAAGGCCCTGAGTTCGGTCCCCAGCACCGAAAAAAAAAAAAAGGAAAAAAAATAGAAAAAGATGGAAGAGGAAGGCTGAAGAGTCAGGCAAGTTTGGATGATAGAAGCAAAGGGTCAGAATGACACGATTTGGGTGTTGGAAGATTCAGGAAGGGGCCATGAGTCAAGGAATGTGGGTGGCCTCTTGAAGCTGGAAAAGGAAATGGACTCTCCTCCCTAGACCCTTCAGAAGGCAACACAGTCCTGCCGACACCTGGATTTTAGCCCAAGGAGATTCGTTTTAGACTTCTAAGATAGTAAGATATAAATTTGTGCTGTGTTAAGCCACTGAATTTGTGCTTTGTTACACTGGCAATAAAATCACTAACACTCTCTTTCACCTAACACTTCATTTCCAAGATAACTATCTGGGATGCTTCTGCTTTTCCCTTCATTTCTACTCCTCACTCTGCTCTGTGCCTCAGGAAGGTTACCTATTTAGTTTGCATTAATAGATTCCTGTCCTTTCTGGCTTCTGTTTGGCCAACAGGAGAAAACTGGAGAGTGAGGGAGAGGGGTGTGGGGTCCTCCTAGCCATGTCTCCCCCAGGCAGCCCTCTCTGCATAGTTGCCCTTTCCTTGCTGACTTTGGGCCCTGGCAGTGGGGAAAAGGGTCTCTTGTTGTGTTAGTGCCAGAGTTCTGTCTTGTTGGATTTTCTACACCCTCCTACGTCCTTGTACA